TCCAAACCCTCGCAGGCCGCTCCGACAACGCCGACCGGCCCGGAGAGCCCCGGGCCCGACGCCGCTCGTGGGCACGCAGCGGCGCTCGCGATTAGCCCGAGCGGGAGGAGGGGCGGGGAGAGGACGGAGCGGGGGCCGCCTACCGGTACTCGCCCGTCTCGAAGTCGATGGTGTCGTGGATGCTCTCGTCGTCGTAGAGCCAGGACCGGAACTCGTGGAGCTGCGCGTGCTCCTCGTCGGAGCGGAGCTCCGCGGCCCGGCCGCTCTCGTAGAGCGAGCCGAGGTCCGTCCACGCGCTCTCGCGGAGCCGCATGCGGAAGAGCTCGCGGTCCGTCGCCTCGGTGACGGGCCCGTCGAAGGCGCCGTGGAGCCCCTTCTTCCCGTTCCACTGGTCGCAGTGGTCCCAGGAAAAGGTGTCGAAGACGAAGGGCAGCGACGGGTTCTGGGGGTTGAACATCTCGTTGAGGTCCGCGTTCGTCAGGTAGCTGTGCTTGTGCTGCTTCGCGGCGCCGGCGATGTGGGCCTGGATGTCCGGCGACCGCTCGTAGTCCATGAGGTTCCAGAAGGGGAGCATGGAGTAGGCCTGCTTGGACCAGGAGCACGTCGTCACGGGGTTGTTCTTGATCTGCGGCCGCCACCGGCCCCACTGCTCCATGGTCTCCTCGATGTTGTCGTTGTTCTGCCACATCTTCGTGATGCGCGCGTAGTGCCAGAGGCGCTCCCAGGCGCCGTGGGACGCCCAGAAGACGGGGTCCGCGGGGCTGCCCAAAATCGCCGTCATCGGCCCCATCTTGGGGAAGTACGCGAAGAGCTTCGTGAACCAGATGATGAGCTGCGTCGTGTCGCCCTGGGACAGGCCGTCGAAGAGCTGGACCTTGCCGTCGTAGACCGTCGGCCAGTCGTCGTCGTAGTCCGTGATCGTCGCCGCGGAGGTACCCGTCGCGTCGTAGAGCTTGTTCAACAACTTGATCTTGTCGAGGACGTGGTAGGCGTACTCGATGGACAGCTCCTCGCCCTCCTCGAGGGGGATGCGCACCTTGTCGATGGTGCAGGTGCAGAGGTGGTCCACGTGCGTGACCGTCGTCGTCGCCTGCGCCGCCGCGGCCGTCGAGTTGCCCGAGGCCTGGGACGCGGCCGCGTCGTCGCCCGCGTCGTCGTCGGACGACGACGACCCCTTCTTCGACGTCGCCGCGTCGTCGTCGCCGTCGTCGTCGCTCTTCTTGCTCGCGACGCCGAGGCCGTGGTTCGCCGACTCGACGTGCTTCATGGGGCGGAGCTCGTTCTGCGCGCCGAGGCGGCGCGAGCCGTCGTCGTCGTCGCCGCCGTCGTCGTCGAAGGTGTAGGTCGGCATGTTGCCCGCGTTGTTCTCGTTCTCGATGATGAGGTCGCAGCGGTGCGGGCAGCGGATGTCGCCCCACTGGGACCCCCAGCCTTTCAAACCGGGCACGAGGACGCCGTGCGAGTAGTTCTTCTGGACGCTGTAGGCGTAGCGCATCAGGATGCCCAGGTCGGTCATGATGTCCTCGGCGTAGGACGTGACGTTCGGGTTGCGGTCGATGAGCGTCTTGATGTCCGCGAACTTGCAGTCCCACGCGCCGCCGATCAGGGGGTGGAGCTCCGCGTGGTAGTAGGTCTCGACCTGGTTGCGGAACTCCCACATGTTCGTCGCGTTGAGCACCTTGTGGAGCTTCGTGCACGTCGGGAGCGGCGCCGTCGTCGGCAGCCCGCACATGGACGCCGCCCTGGTAAGGTAGGGCGTCTTGTCGGGCGAGAAGTTGTCGACGACGTAGCCCCAGGGCGAGTGCTCCGGCGAGGACCAGTTCGTGCCCAGGGGCGTGTTCGGCAGGAGGCCCGTGTCGACGATGAAGGGCGCCACCGGCGGGAAGACGCCGAACATGTCGTCGGAGAAGATCGGCGAGTGCTCCGTCCACCGGTTGCCGTACTTCTCCGCGTCGATGGTGTACTCCCAGTAGTGGGCGGCGACGGACGAGTGGACGCTCTGGAGCGCCATCTCGAACTCGCGCGTGAAGGCCGCGTGGGCCGTGAGGAAGACGGACGACGTGTGCCACGGCGAGCAGCCCTCGATGGACATGGCCGCGAGGTGCTTCTTGTTGAGGTACTCGTAGTTGCGGAAGTTAGCGCCGTACATGGCCTTGCCCTCGGGCATGCTCAGCGTGTAGATCTGCTTGAGCGCCTCGAAGTAGAGGCCGCGGTCCGCGTCGTTCAGCTTCCGGAGCTCGCGGCGGACGTACTTGCAGATGATCTCCTCCTTGAGCCAGCGCTCGCCGTGGGAGCCCGACGTTTCTACCAGGTGGAGGTTGTAGAAGCGGCCCGGGTAGGAGAAGGAGTGGGTCAGGGTCTCGCCCTTGACGCCGCGGACGACCATCTCGCTCTCCTTGCCCTCCATGCCGGGCAGCTCGAGCGTCCAGGTGTACTCCGCGTCCTTGACGCGGTGCACGGGCTGAAGCACCGTGGATCGGAAGGGCTCCACGAGGTAGTCCCAGGGGTAGTAGCCCA